ATAAATTAAATTAAATTTTCATTTTATTATTTTTTATAATATAAGTATAATATTTCATAATATTAATTTCATTTATTTTAAATATTTTATAAAATAAGATTTTATAGTTTTTTAATTTTTAAATTTTTTTTCATATAAAAAAAATATATTTTTTTTTTTTTTAGAAATGTAAATAAAGTCTTCTAAAAAATTTATAACATAAGATTATAACTCATTTATTGGAAGAAATTTAATTATTTAATGGATTAATAATTTATTAGGAATAAAAATGTAAAAAATTGAAGAATTAGGAAAAGGATTTATATATTGCTAATTATTCAATTATATTTATCCAGGGAAAATACAATTAAACAAAATAAAATAAGAGCCTAGAAATGAAATTGAATATATTCATAATTTTAAAATTTTAGAACTAAGTTTCAAACAATAAAATATTTAAAAGAAAATACCTGTAAAAAAATATACATATTAATATATATGTAAATATAAAATAAAAAGATATAAAATTTAATAAAATGTAAATTTTAAAATAATTTGGAGTTCATTTAATGGTTAAAAGTATAATTTGATAAAATATTAGCAAAAAATAAAATAAAGTTTATTATTGAAAGAAGAATAAAGCTTTTTAGGTATTTTTTCTAAATATTTTAACTAAAAAAATCTTTTTATGTTGTAAAAAGAAAAAAATGATAAATCTAAAAACGAAGAAGATATTAAATTATAAAAATAATAAAGCAAAAATATGGCTAAGGAAAATTTTGAATGGGATGAATAGGAAAAAATATATAAAAAACTGAAAACAGAAACTTATACCTAAAATATTCAAAGTTTTTAAGAAATAAAATCTATTTAGAGTGTACATAAATTATCTGTTAGTAAAAATTAAAATGACGCAAGCGAATGTAAATTTTTTATGAATAACAATAATTCTTCTTCAACAAAGAAAAAAGATGACCCTTATTTATTTTTTAGATAGAATAATAGCACAAATTCTCAAAATTAATAAAGCGTTTAAGAGTTTTTTCCTAATAAATTAAATTTTTAAATATCATAAGAAAATGACTAGTTAAAGGGTTTGTAATAAAAACTAGATCAAATAAAATAAATTGTTAAAGAAATTCCATCAGAAGTTTTATAAAAAGATGTATAATTTAATTAAAAAATATAAATGATAAATAATATATTAAACGAATGAAATATAAATATTAAATTGAGAATAAATTTTATAAATATTATTATAATTAATTATTTATTATTTTTAATAAATATGAGTAAAAAAACAAAATATTTTAAGTTTATTATTTGGTTTCGATTATGTTTCTTTATTTTAATTTAAAACTTTTATTATAATATTGTTTTTTAGTTTCATACTAGAATTTTTTTATTTAAAAATAAATTATAGAAAAGAATCTAAGATATAATTAATTTTTATAATAATTTATTTAATTATTTGTTTTAGTTTTATTTTAAAATTCAATAAGTCATTTTATTAAAACAAAACATAAATTCTAAATTTCTAAAGTATATAAAATCGATGTTTTATTATTCTTTTTATTTTTATAATTAACCTTCTTTTAAAATTAATTATAAATAATTTATTATTTGTTTAATTTTTTTTTTATTATTTTTATTTAAAAATTCAATTAAAAATAAAAAATGGTCGAAAAAATTGTATGGATATTTTGCTTTATTTTTTAATTGAGTTTTTAAATAAATATTACAGAAAAATAAAAAGAAAACAATTTGAACAAGATATAATATGACTTAAAAATTTAATATTTAATTTGATTTTTATTTAAAAATAAAACTTTATTTAAGTTTTATATATATATATATATAATTTTATGTTTTTTTTAAAAAAAATAAAAGAAATTATTATATTAATATAAACAAAAAGATGAAAATAATGTTAAATCATTTTTAAATAATATTATATTTGATTTTTTTATTTATTAATACAATCACTCTGTTTAACTTTTTATAACTCTTTAATTATGAAAATAAAAATTTAGAAAATATTAAGATGCAATTCAGTTATTTTACACAAAATTATAATTATAAGCAATTTTAATTTAACTTTTAATAGTCATTAATATTTAACTTTATTTCTGAGTTTTTTATTTTATACATAATTTCTATAACTATAAACATAAATGATGATTAAATAAAATAAAAAAAAAATAACTTATATCTTTTTATTGATTTTTCTTTTTTTTAAGTTTTTTTATTTTTTCTTGCATATGGCCATTTTCTAAACATAATCAAACTTATGGAAAGCATTTTAGTAATAAAAAGAATATCACTATTTATGAATGTTAATTTAGCTCAGAAATAATGAAAGATAAATGCGAATTTTCATTTTGGCTTTTTAATATGATCTTTTGCTGTTAAATATGGATTATTATGTGTACTTTATTCTTAATAGGGCTTATTTATTTAAATTAACTATATAATAGATACCCTCAAAATATAGGAAATAAAGTTAGATTATATTTGAATTAATAATAAATTAAGAATTTTGATAACGAAGGAAATTTAGAAAATGAACGAAATTTATTAAAAACAATCTTAATTGAAAAAGAAGAATTATTTTTTAAATAAAACTAAAATTTGAGTTATTGAGAAAAAATAAATAAATAATAATATTTATAATTATTTTTATTTATTAATATTTTTATTTAATATTTTATTTAAAATGTTATATTTTAATTTTTATATTTATATTTTTAATCCATATATTTTTTCTCAGCATGATTCTATCTTCTTTTTAGCATATTAATAATACTGACATAATTCTTTTGCTTTATTGTAAATATCCTTTTTTGTTATGTTAAGATTTTATTTTTTAATTTGTTTTTACTTCAAACTGAAAATTTTATTGAATAGGTTTAATATAAAAATAATTATTAGATAAAATTTACTTTCTTTTATATTAATAATATATTAAATACAATTATGTTAATAAAAATACTTGCTATTTATTTTTAAATAAAATATTTTTATAATTCCTCTACAATTTAATATTACAATCTAAAATAAAAATAATACAATTTTTTATGAATTTTTCTATAAATTAATACTGTCTGATTTTTTTTTTTTTGAATTTATACGAAATAATATATTCTAATGGATATATTTATTATTAATTTTTACTTTCTATTTATATATACAATGATTTATTAATAATATTTAGATAAAAATTACCCACTATAAAATCATATTTAAATATTATTTAGAATTTTTATTTTACAAGCTAATTTTTATTTTATATGAATGAAATATATAAAATTTAAAATAAAAAAATTACTTTCTTTAAAAAAAAAATTAATTTAAGAATTATAAACTAATTTTTATATTTAATTTTACATCTCCCTTTGAAAAAAAAAATATAATGAAACTTCTAATAATTAGTTTTATAATACTTCTCCCTATTAAATATTAAAAAATAAAATAAAAATATTAATTTTATCTTACTATCTTTAATTTTGATGTAAAATAAATACAGATAGTTTTAAATTTATTTTACTTTCTTTATATTTATTTAAATAAATAAAATTAAATTAATTAATTGAAATAAATAATATATTACGATCTATAAAATAAATAAAAATAGATAATTTTTATGACTTTTAAATACTCTCTAAAAATAATGTTTTTTAATTATATTCATTAATTAAGATTTATATTATAATAAAATTACGCTCTATTTTAAAAATTAATGGTTTAAATATTAAAATTATAAAATAACTAACTTGCTAAATAAAATTATTTAATATTAAAAGTTTAGAATTTTGTTTTGATTACAAACTATAATTAATAAATAAAAATAAATTATATATTATTTAATATATTACTTTGACTTCAGGGAGCTAAAATTTATATTATAGTTTATGTATATATAATTTTATTATAAAAACAATTTTGGCTTCTATTTAATCCTAATTTTTTTTTTAAAAAAAAAATCAAATATTTCTTTTTAATTTTAAAAAAATAACAAAATTATTCCATCGCTATTTAAAATTCATATCTTCTAGATATTTATTACACTTTTATATATATTATTCTTTCAACAAATCCTAAAATAAATATAATTTAAAAAAAAATATAACAAAAAACTTTAGTAAATTATAATGAGCTAGAATTTTATTATTATTATTGTCCAGTAATTTATTTATTTTACAGGTTTTAATTATTTTATAAATTATCAAAAATATTATTCGGGGATTATTCTCTATTTGATATTAATGCTTCTTTTTCTTTTAATATGATATTTAATGAATCTAATTATGTAGAATTTATTGGCTGCTATACCTAATTATTTTTAAAAAAACTACTATTTTATTACTATTCCTATTACTCCTAATGCATATTGGTAAGTTAAGAAACGATTGCTAAATCTTATGTTTCATTATTAGTTTGTTAAATTTAATTTTACATAAAATATGGTTAATATAATTATTAAATTTATTATTATTATTATTATTATTTTTATTATTATTATTATTATTATTATTATTCTTATATATTCTTATTATTCTTATTATTCTTATTATTCTTATTATTCTTATTATTCTTATTATTCTTATTATTCATAATTTTCTTATTATTCTTATTTTTCTTATTATTCTTATTATTCTTACTATCCTTATTGTTCCTATTATTTCTATTATTATTAAACATCTATTTCAATACGTTATTTTTATTCATTTTTCCTTTCAATTTGTTATTATTATTATTATTTTTATTATTTTTATATTTATTATTATTAATCTTAGTTTGTTGTTTTTTATACTATACTTTTTTTTGTTGTTTATATTGCTTATTTTTAAGTTTTATTTTCATTTTATTTTGTTATAATTCTTTCTTTTTTAGTTTAATTTTTATCATCTTTTTTATTAGGACTTTTATTTTTATTTTTTTATTCTTAAATTTCATCTCTTGTTGGACTTGCATTTTATTCTTTATTACTAATAGTTTCTTTTTAAATAATATTCCTTTTCTTATATCTTATTTTATATTAACGATTGGAATGAATTCTTTATTGCTAATTTGAATAAATTCTGTATTAATATTTTTCGAACTCTGTAGTATTTATTATTATTCACTATTAATAAAACATGAAAACCTACTAATTTCATTAAAATATAAATTATTTAAAATTACAGATGCTTAAAAAGTAGAAATCCTTTTTTTTTCATAATATTGAAGCAAACCTAAAACAACATAATTTATTTACTCTTTATTTTAAATTCTTAAATTTATTCAATTTTATCTAAATAAAAAGGCACGTTTGTTATTAATTCTTATGTCCTCGTTTATCCACACAACATTTAGTAAAGAATTTTCCCCAAAGCAAAACAATTATCTTTCTTTAATTTTTTATATGATTAGTGCTTTTTGAATTCACTTTAAATTATTGTTTATTCCAAACTATTCTTCTCTTCATTTTATATGTTTATTTAAGAATGTCCTAAATCGTAATACATATCACCTTTTTTATTTTAATTTTACATATACAAATAATATATATATTAAATATTATTACTTAGAACTGCAACTCCCAATTAGTTTATTAATATTTAATTATATTTAATTTCAGAAACAGGTATTTTTTTGGCATGTATATATGTTAATCCATTTGTAATTTCAGAAGCATATTTAATAAAAGAATTTTCATTAAAAGAACCATATAATTAATTCAAAGATCCTATACATTCTTCTAATTTTAAAAAATAGAAATCTTTTCCTTAAAATGATCCATAGCATTTAATTATATAAGGACTATCACATTCTATTAAATTTTTTTCTTCTTGTTTTATTTATTCTAATAATTATTAATTTACAGTTTTATTTTCAGTTATTTTTATTCCTTTTATCGCATATCTAATTCCTGTTTTTTTTTCTTTTGCTATTAATATTACACCGTTTTCACTACTGTATGATGTATGAAAAAAACTTGTATAACCAAAGTTTGATAAATCCTTTTTCATTAATTTTTCTATTGGACTTTACTCTTGATCTTCATATGATGTATGTTAATCTTCTTCTAATAAATTTATTTGTTTTTCATATAAAGTTTGTTTAATTTAATTTTTTTAATTTTCATAATTGAGTAAAATAGTATCCATTTTTTAATTGTTTTTTTGTTTAAATTTAATATTTATTTTTATTTAAATCAATTTTTATTTTATTTTTTGTTTAAAAAAAAAAGATAAATAAAAATCATTTCTTCTTAATTTTTGTTAATCTTAAATATATATATAAATAAATTAAAGATTATATTAATTATAACAACAATATATAATATTTATTTTATATATTTTCGATTGATTTTACTTATATAAAACTATGTAAATATTATTATATAAAAATTATTATTTAATAAATTATAATTTATATCTGAATAAAACATAATAATATAAAATAAATTAAAGGTAAAATAGATAATATAAAGTTTATTTTTTTTCAGTAAATAAAAATTATAATAAATTAAAATACTGAATAATTATATATGTTATAAATCTTTACATAAATATGCATTAAATAGATAAAAAATATATGAATTAAAAAAATACTATATATATATTTATAATTTTAAATTTTTATTCCCTATCTAATTTATTTATATTTAAAAAAAATATAATTAATTAAAAAAAATGAATTGCCCACATATTAATTCAGAATAGATAAACATAGATTATTTTTAATATTATAATATATTAAAGAATACCATAAATTAGTTACATTGTATGTTAAAAATGCGACTTAGGGTTGAATGTCCAAACTCTTTGTAAATTTTAATTGCTTTAAATGAAAAAATGTTAACATTTACTGAAATATAAAATGATTTAGAATCCTTATTAAAAAAACAGAAAGATGCTTTATTAACTAACTAGTAATTAAAAGAAAAAGCCTAAAAGTATGACAAATTAATTTTCCGTTTAGATGAAATTGAATAAGGTTATAAATACTAAAATATTGAATTATTATAAAAATCGAAGAATCAAGAAGAGAAAATAAATTAACTTTAATAATATATTATATAAATAGAAGAATAGAACGAAAGAAAATGTAAAATATAGATGGAAAATCATGAAAACTAAATAATGTTGAAAAATGCAGAAATAAATAGAATAAAAATTGAAAGAGATAATATAAAAAGTCAACAATAAAATCTTAATAGTCTATTGAAATAAGTAAATGAAGAAAAAGAAATAAAATAATAAAAAATAGACGAATAAATAAATGAAATAAAAAATGAATTATTTCAAGTTAAAGATTAATATGAATAAGTTTTATAGGATAAAATTAATTAAATTTAATAATTATAAAGAGAAATTTAATTAATAAAGAAAGATATAGAACTTAACTAGGAATTTGATCTTCTTCAATCATCAATTAATAATAATTAATATAACAAGTCACTTAAAAATAAAGTCGATAATTAAAATAAAGATATTTGCTATGATGATCTTAGTGATGGTAATGAATAAAGTTCGAAAATTTCAAGTAAAAATGGCAAATTATCAGATATAAGTGATAATGATTTAAGTTAAACTGATTGATTTAACTTTTTTTATAAGATATTTATTTAATTTTTGTATATATAAACTTATATAATTTTTAATATTTATTTATAAGAATTTTTAATTTTATTTTTTGTTTAAATAAAAAATACTTGTTTAAAAATATACTTAAATATTTAAAACACAAAAACATATTAATATTTAGAAATCGATTAAACTATTTTTATATATATTGTTTTATTATATTCTTAATAATATATTTGCTAAATATTAATAATTAGTTTGTTTTTATCTAAAATAATTAGCGTTTATTTAATATTTTTAAGAATAATGATTTGATGAATTTAATTTATATATATTATCAAACTATTATTTTTATTTTTTTATTAAACTAAATTATTTCATTTTATTGATTAAAATATATAATCTTAATCTAAAAAAATTAAGTTAATTCATGAAGATATTCTTCTATATTATAAGCAAAAAAATAATTTTAATCAATTCATAAAATTCTAATGATAAATATATATTTTTTTTTACAAAGTTATATTCTATTTATTATAGTTATTTGTTTTATTTTTATTAAAAAAATTTAGTAAATAGTATACATTTTGAAATTTTAAAAATAAAAAACTATTTCATTATATAAAGTATAATTTAAAATTGTCATTTTTTTTTTTTTTAATTATTAAAACTATTTTTAATATATTGAAAAAATACAATAATTGGGTTAAGGGACATCCTTATACAAACATTAAAATTCACTTTTTGTTACTTAATTTTATTTAAAATGATAATCAATTATCAGGAATAAAAATTTAAAAGATTTTATAATATAGTTTTAAGTAAATAAAAAAAATATTAACTTTTCTATATTAATAAATATATCAAAGATATTTTATTTTTAAAATTGCAATATATAATAATAAAATATATCATCGATTTTATTTAAATTATATAAAATCTTACTAAAATTAATCTAAAATGAAAATTAATAGAGTTAGAAAAATACCTAAAAAATTAAAAGTTCATATACGCAAATCTTAAACTTAAAATTATAAAAAAAAAATTAAAAACATTCCTTTTTTTTTTGAAAAAATTTGTAAAAAAAAATGCAATTGAAATGATAATTATTTGTTATTTATGTGAATAAATAATGATTTTTTGGTTTATAAAAACCACAATTGCTAAATTAAGATAATTATTTAACCCTATTTATACATTTTTGGTTTTTTTTTATAAAAAAAAGAAATTATTTTTAAATTTATATAAATAAAGATATATTCTCAGAAATTAAATTAAATAAAATAATATTTTTTATAATTATAAATAACTTTTAAAAGCTAAACTTATTCTGAATATATTAAATATACGAATAAAAAGAATTAAAAAATGTGATTTTTTACCTAATTTGATTATTGTTATTAAATCGATAAATAATAACTTAAAATTAAGTATTTTATATATATTATAATTATTATTTTCAAAAATAATTATTAATACTTATTTATACTTTTTCTTTTAATTTTTTAAAATCTTAAAATTCTTATTCTAGAAATAATTAATTATTAATGGGAGGTTTATTTAGATTTAGAATTAAATTTTATTTAGTATTAATTTAATTGTTTTCATCAAATATTTTAAAAAATACCCATCCATGTTATTCAAATTTATCTTTTTTTTTAATTGTAAAACAAATATTAAAATAAATTTTATTTAAATTTTTAAAATTCTAAATTATTAACTTTTAAAAATCAATATCAAATTGTAAAAATTGATTAAAATTTACTATTTTATTAGCTTTTTCATAAAAAAATAACTCTTAAATTGTTTTTTCGGTATTTTTTTCATTAATATCTTTTATAATTACACCTGCGTTTAAAAATTATATAGAAATTTGAATAGGATAAGATTCTTTCGTATAATTTTATAGATTTTATATATGGATTTGTAATTGTTTTAATTAATTTAAAACACTTTTTTCATTATTTAAATTTATTTTTTTAAATTATAATGATAATTCAAAAAATTAAGCCTAATTACTCTTTTAACTTTATATTATTTCAGTTTTCATTAACTAGAATTAATTAAATTTTTCTTTTTCTTTTAAAAGGTTTACTTTACTATATCCAAATTCATTAAAATTAATTAATAATTAAATATTATGATTTTCAAAAAAAATTTTATAAGGACAAATAAAGTATATTTTGTCAATATTTTTCGTTTAATCTTGAATTAATTTTGTAGATAGATTTTCTAAGGGAATATTTAATGAATCTAATATAGATAATTTAAATAAAATAGGTGATTTTTGTTTTATAAGATATATATTTTATATTAATATTTCAATTTCTATCAAATCTTCGCTATTAAAATCCTCTTTTATAAGATCTAATACATAATCTTCTATGTTTTGTTTACTTTTTTCAATTTCCTTTAATTAATTTGATAATAAATAGTGTAAGTATATATAAATATATATATATATATATATATATATATATATATTTATATATATATATATAAATATATTTACATAAATCAGTTAAATATTCGTTTGTTATACTTTTTATAAATTAAAAGGGTTTTGAATAGGAGGAAGAAATAAAAAAACTTAATTTTAAGGTAAAAAATTAAAAGTTTATAATTAAAAATTAAAATCAAATAAATTTAAAATAGTCCAATAAACACATTTTAAATTTTTATCGAAAAATCCTATAAGTGCTTTACTTTATATATTAGAGTTTTTATTTTAAATTAATTAGTTGAAAAAAAATGAAGAGATAGTATGTTTTTGACCAACATTTAAAAGAAAATTATTTTTAGATTTATCTTAAACGTTAATTTAGTGGTCAGTAATACAAATATTATTATTAACATCTTTTATTGTTGTTTATTATACTAGTAAAGATATTTTAATAGATAATATATTAATTTGTTGCTTTAAATTTGAAATTTCTTTTAAAAAAAGATCAATTATAATATTATTTTCATCATATTTTTTTTATTCTTAATTTAAGAAATCACTTATTTAAAATTAATAATCATTTTATGCTTTTCTTTTTTCTAATAGCTATTTTGTTGTATTTGTTACTACTAATTGCTAATTATCTGATTCTTTTTATGGCGTTAGATTTGAGTTTTTTTCTTCTTTTTTTTGAATTAATAATTATGCTGTTTTTGTTAATACTAATTACTCATTTTAGCTATTTTTTATTTCTTTTTTTATTATTTTTTTAGAATCTTCTTCTTTTATTGTTTTTTATTGATTTTTTTCGTTTTCTTCTGTTTTTATTTGATTTTCTATTTTTGCTCTTGAATATTTTCTTTATCTTTTGTTTATTTATTTTTCTTCAGGATTTATAATTAATTCTTATTTTTTTAATTATTCATCTGATATATTTTCTAATATTTATTATTTTATTATTGTGTCTTATTTGTTTTTTTAAATATCTTGTTGTATAACAAATTTGTTACTTTCTATATTTTTAAAAATATTCGATTTTCTATTTTATCTTTAATTAGAGTCTTATTAATTATTTTTTTCTCTAGTAAATTATTCAATTGTAAACTAATTTTAATAGTTTATTTATTTGTTTTCTTTAATATTATATAATTATTATTATTTCTCAATTGATAAATCTTTTGTAGTTTATACTATATCTTCATTATTAATTACTTTTATGGGGCCATATTTTTCGAAAATAATATTTTTTTCAGTGTCTTTTTTTATTCTAAATTAATTATAATCTTTTGCTTTTTGGATATTTTTTTCTTAATCTCTTAATTATTATACACTATTATTATTAATTTATTCTTCGATTTTTTTTGAAAAAAAGTTTAACTTTTTTTAACTTTTTATTTAATTTATTTAATTATATATATCATTCTCATTTATTTATTCTAATTCACCTTGAATTTTGAAATAACTTTTCATTCCTTAACTTTACATTTTGTTTTTTTTCAATATTTATATATCTTCATAAAATATTGCATTACTTTTTTATAATTTTTCTTATTCTTAAGCTATTTCTTATTCTTCTAACATATTTAATTTTGAAAAGGAAGTTTATTATACGTTTATTTATCCTTTTTCTTTTATATTATCTTATATCTTTTATTACAAAATAATATCTTCTTCTATTTAATCAAGTTATTTTTCCTATAAATGTATACTCTCTATTCCATAAACCTCATCTATAATATTTTAATGAAAATCATCTTTTTGCAATTAAATTTAAATATAGACAAAGCATTTTCCTAAATAAGGTAATCCAGTCGAAAAAAGAGAGATAGGTATATGATTTTTGGAATAAATAGGAAGTTTAAAATTTCCAGTTCTTAATTATCTATCACTGTCAAATAATTTATGTATAGTCCATGCATAAGAAAAAAATTCATTTTACTATATTTATAATAATATTTTTTTTTTTTTTTCAATATTCAATAATTTTTTATTTTAATATTATAGAAATTTTTACATTTTTATTACAAACTTTTAAATCCATATAGATAAATGAAAATTAATTAGGGACAATATCTTTAATATTTTCAATAAAGTTAATTTTACAACAAGATACTTCTTCATTATTTTATAATACAAAATAAGTTTCTGATTTTCTATATGCTTTTAAATTATCTCCTTTTCTAAAAATTCCATATTCTATAAACATTTTATCAAATTAGGGAGGCAGTTTTTCTATTTAATCCCATTTTAAAATAAAACCTTCATCTTTTTTGTAATTTTGATTATCTTTTTTAAATTGTTTTAATCTTTTACTCTTATTTTTTCTTATTATTCTTTTAAATGTTGAATCAAATCTGTTATTACTTTTAATTATTAATTACTGTAATCATATGATTATTTTCTTTCCTGCGCTTAAGAAATTTAATACATTATTTCTTATTATTATTAATTTAAATAATTTAATAATGTCGAATTATAGTTTTTTGTATTCTCGGAAAAGTTCAGTATTTAAAAATATTATAAATACTTTTAAAAAAATTAATTATTTTTATAAGTTTTTAGTGTTTTTTATGGTTCTAATTCATTATCTAAGTTATTTATACTTTTTTTTTATTACCTTTTCTAATCGTTTAATAAATAATCATTTTTATTATCTATTTTTTAATTTATTAAAAACCCAGTTTTTTTTATAAAATTACTTCTATCTTAAATAGGAGATAGGTATTATTATTTTTAAATTAGATCTTAATATATTTATTTCTGCTAAGGCTAAATATTTTGAAATTCTTTTTTTATTTTTATTATTCATTTTTTTAATATATGATACAATATATTGAAGAAGGAGGTTTTAATGAAGTTATTTAGTCTATATTTAAAAAATAAATATAAATAAACAATAAATAAAATAATATATTTTTAACATAATTCTTATAAATTATTTGAATATTTTTTAGATAATAATGGATTTTCTTATTGGTTTATTCGAGGTAACATATTATAAGATTTTTATATTATTTCATCATCTATAAATTTTATTTTGAAATGATATATTATAAAATTCCTTTTAAATTAATAAAATAAAAAATACTTTAGGTTTAAATTTGTCGATCTTAATAAATATATTTATAATCTTTTAAAATATCTATATTAACCTAAGATTATACTTTTTAATGTTTATTTTAAATTCTAAACTATTCCTGCATTTTATTTTGCTTTTTTCTAAAATTTATAATATATCGTTTAAATATTGAATAAATAAAAACTAATCATATAGAATATAATAATAATTTATAATTTATTTATTAAAATAATATTTTATAAATTTATATCCATTATTTTATAATAGAAATAAATATAAAAAATATATGAATAATTAATTGTTTTTAATATTATAAAAATATAATAATAATTATAATTTAGTAAAAAGAATAATTAATAATCATTATATTTGCAATTTTTTATATCATTTTATTATATAATAAATAAAGTATTCGATTTTTATTTTTTTGTAGTTAGATTATTTTATTACTTTCAATATGTTTTTTTTAGATTAATATCAAAATATCATTTTAAAGAAAATTATTAAAATTATGAAATTATAAATTTTTTAGTTGAAAAACACATTAAATTATGTAATTTTTAACAAAAATAAATAATATATATATATATATATATATATATATATATATATATATATTTATCAAATCATTTTAAAAAGAAATTGAATTTAGTTTAAAAAAAATAATATTTGAATGGTTTAAGTAAAAAAAAACAAGAAAAGCTAAAATAAAAATCATAAAAAAAAACACTTAATTAATTTTCTACAAAAAAAATAAAAGTCAGCTTAAATAAAGTAATATCTTAAGCTAAAAAAGGAAAAAATATTGTCTGTAAAAGAATTATATATAATAAATACAATTATAAAAAGTAATGAATAATTTGGAAATGAAAAGATTTTATACTAATCTAAAAAAGAGGTAGAATGCTTAGTAAAGTTTAATACAATAATGGAAAATAAGTTTTAATATAATATTAATGAACCCCTATTTAATTAATATTTAGATTCAAAATAAAAAAAAATTGGATATAAGAAATATTATAAAAAGTACCTAAAAAATCTTCAATAAAAATTGTTATAAGTAAAAATAGCAAATGTAAAAGTTTAATTTAATAATAATAAATATTAACTAGAGGTTAGAACATAAATATTTAAAAATAATATTGATAATACTTTTAGCAATTAATAATAAATTAAAAATAGACGAATATTTTTTCAAAATTAAAAATTTATTAAAATAAAATTAGAGAGTAATAAAACAATTAATATTTTTTTTTATTTATTATATATTATTCTGAAAAATATAATTTTATATATATTTTATTTTAAATTAATTAATATTTTTTATTTATTTTAATTAGATACTTTAAAATTATTATAATATATATATTTTATAGATACTTTAAATTTATTATAATTAAATATTTATATTATATTATTTAAATAAAAATATATTATTTATCTATATAAAAAATAATTATTTGAATATAATTTTATATCTTTTTTAAATTTATTTAATATATTTTTATATTTCAATAAATTTTATCTATTCCAAATAAATAATTCCAATAATGTTTAATCCTTTAGAATATGCTTTTATTTTTATCCTTGTCTTTTTTTTTAGTCTCTTCATCAGCTTTTCTTTTCGCTTCTTCATCAGCTTTTCTTTTAGCTTCTTCTTCAGCTTTTCTTTTAGCTTCTTCTTCTTCAACTTTTTTTTTAGCTTCTTCTTCAGCTTTTCTTTTTGCTTTTTCTATTTCTGCTTATTTTTTAGCTTCTTCTTCAGCTTTTTTTTTAGCTATTTCTTCCTCAGTTTATTTTTTTTTAGCCTCTTCTTCTTCAGCTTTTTTTTTTGCTTCTTCTATTTCTGCTTATTTTTTAGCCTCTTCTTCAGCTTTTTTTTTAGCTATTTCTTCCTCAGTTTATTTATTTTTAGCTTCTTCTTCAGCTTTTCTTTTTGCTTCTTCTATTTCTGATTATTTTTTAGCTTTTTCATCAGCTTTTTTTTTAGCTTCTTCTTAAGCTTTTGCCTTAGCTTCTTCTTCTTAAGCTTTTTTTTTAGTTTCTTCATCTTAATTTTTTTTTTTTTCATCTTCTTCTTTCTATTTTTATAATTATTATATCTTTTATTCTTATTTAGAAATATCATTTTTATTTTTTTAAAGCAGTTGTTGTAATTTAGATTCATGTTCTTTATATTAAATTTAGATATCTTAAATTTATTTTTTAATCAGTTTATTATCTTCTTCTTTTTAAGTTTCAGTAAGCTTTTTATTTAAATATTAGATTTTTTATTCGCTTTCTAATTTTTCAGATCGCAATATATTTAAAATTACTTTTTATTCATTTTATAAGTCTTTCAAATTTTATTCTTCTGTTTTTAATTAATCTTCTGGTACATGTTTATATTAAGGTTCATTTGTTTTCCTGAAACAAAAATAAAATAAAACGCTTACTAGTGCAACACTAATTAATATCATTATTACCATAATAATATATTTTTTTTTAGATTTCTATGGTAAATTCTAGCTTTCAATATCTCTATAATTATTAGAACTATTTTCAATCATTTCTTTATTTATTTTTATTTTATTTATAGTATAATTAATATTTTTTTTTTTTAGAAAATATTTATTTAGGTAAAATAAAAATATTATATAAAGATAATATTAAAGAATAAAAAAAAGATATAGAATTGATAAAAAATTATCAAGCAGATAAAGATTTTTTATAAATTGAATAAAAACAAAGCAAATTTTTTTATTTTTAAATTATTAGTCTACAGAGTACATATATTCGCATTAGAAATATCCATCTAGCTAAGTCGATTGAGCGCTAGTCTTTTGCCTTTTAAGCTATTGGTCAAGAATTTTAGCCATTTAGTAAGTGTATTTTTTTATTTTTAATATGCTATTTATGCGAATGTGAATTATATATCAATGATTGTTTAGAAAAGTTCAATTTTAAATAGTTAATTAAATGAAATATTCATTATTTAATTAAAATAAACTTAAATACGAAATTAAAAATAAAATATAGTAAAAATAGGAATAATAAAAATAAAATAAAATTTATTTTTAGGTTTTATATTTATTATTAAAATATATATTTAATATACTTATTCTTTATTTTTATATATAATATTTGTCATATTTAATAATACAATATCATTATTATTTTTAATCATCTTACTATTAACTTTAATCTTGATTGTCTTGGTTTTCTTGATTTTATTATGTTTCTTGATTATTTTCTTCATCTTATAATTCTTTGTTACTTTATTCTTATTATTAATAATTATTTTGTTATTAAGATTCCTGTCTTTTGTATTCTTTTAATTTTGATGAAGGAGAATCTAAATCAGCCAATTCATCTTCCACATTAAGAGCAGGATTTTTCTTTAAATTTTCTAAGAAACTCTATTCTGCCTATTCAATCATATCTACTTTTTTTTTTTCCCATTTTTCCTTTTAAGAAGTTATTTCTTTATTTGCACCTTTTTTTGCTAATTCCTATTATTTTTTAATTTATTCTAAATTCTTTTCCTTTCTATATTCTCTTTCAAACATCTATTATTAAATGTAAAATATATATATATTTAAAAATATACTTCATTAATAATATCTTTTTCTTTAGGTTACATAGTATAAAGTGATTCACATAATTCTAAAATTGTAACAGTACCTATAAAAAATATGAATTTAATAAAATAAAATTAAAAAAAAAAAATACCATCCTAATCTCCTATAGCGCAAAGTTTTCCTGCACAATTTCCACCACTTTAAGCACTAGATTAATTAATTTTAATACATGTTAAAGGAGCATCACTAACTTTATGTGAGAAAGCAATTTCATTTTATCTATAATAATAATCCCATACATCCATCCATCCGTCCTTAATAAAAATTTAATAAAAAATTTAAAAAAAATCATACTCTTCTAACTAAAAAGAAAGCTCCGGATCTAGTTGGTGACCAGCAGCCATCAGACAAATAAGCTCCATGATATTTAGTCCTAATAATAGGCGATTTAAGTTCTTCATTCCATATTTTACAACTCCAATCACCAACCGACAAGAAATATTTAGTATTTTAGTTAGATCTATGGACACTGTAAATAGGTCCAAGATGTCTTCCTTATTCTAATCCATATCTATGACTGATTTCTACAGCTTTTTTCGGTTTTTTGTTTGCAGTTAAAATCGAACCGGACTCTGTTCCTATCAAAAATTTACTCGGACCAGCTTCCACATTATATTCAAGAGCTGTACCCCCAATAATTTCTTCATTCTCACCAGTTCCTTCTACAATATTAAGTTTTTCTACAGGACCAGCATCGAACTTTCTTGTATCCCACCACATAACTCTTCCGTCGGTACTAGTAGTAACACATTCACTTCCTGTTTTACTCATTAACCAATGGAAATGAGTTACTGGTTCATAATGAGAATTTTCAACAGGAGATATAGCTGCAGGACCGTCTCCTTTTCTTACGTCCCAAACTGCAACTAAACCATTATAACAGCCTCCTCCAATTTAATCGCTCAACTTTTGATTATAAGCTATATTTGTTATGGGAGAAGGAGATAATAATTTTATATCAGGTACGTTTGGATTTACTAAGTCCCAAACGTAGGCTTCTGTGTTCATTTTTTCAGGCATTTACTAGAAACGCATAATTGCGTATGATACAGCAATTTTTGCAGGTTCTATTTTTTTCTTTTTAATAATTTTTATTTTTTTTATTTTTACAATCTGGCTACCAAGATATTTCTGATACAGATCGCTTAAATTCCTCTTTTTCATTCTTAAACAACATCAAAGTCTTTGATGATAGATTTTCAACTATATGGTCAGATACTTCACCTTAGAAATATTCTTCTAATAAGTCGATTTAATTGTTTTGTTTTATGCATTTTTCTACGGATTCTTTTAGTTCTTTTACTGATTGAGGAAAGTTAGTATCTTTTTCTATTCTTTTTTTATATCTTAATGTTTCTTAAGCTTCACTAGGATCTACATTTGCAGGCCAACCTGTTTTTATAAAAAATATTATATTTAGTTTATTTATTTATTGTTACCTCCTTCTTTATGTAGCATTCCTTTATCACCTGTTTTTACTCTTTCAGTATTTACCTTTTTATTTTTAAAATAGATATATAATAGTTTATATAATATTTTATTTTACTGAATGCTCAGAGAGTTCTGCAATATTATCTAAATCAATAAAATTTGGATTTCTTTAAACATATTCATTTGTATTTTATACCTAAGGAAAGTAACCACATACCTTAATATCTGTATCAGCAAAGGATACTGGATTGTAAAAGTCTTTTCTTAATTTTTAATAAGTATAGAATTCAGTCATTTTTTATTTTATGTTTATCTTTTATATATTTTTTTATTTATTTATTTAATTTTTTAAAAAAATATATTTAAAAATATAATATTAAAAAGTAAGTTATAAAGATATTAAGAATGCAATTATCTCGGAAGTTTTATTTTATTCTAAAATAAATTAAAAATTTTAATTGAATGTTTTTTATTTATTTTTTTACAGAAAATATATTTGATTTATATACAAAAAACTTTTTAATTTTTTGAAAAATCTCTTTTATTTTTTTAAATTTTCAAAGATTAATTTCGAATTAAAATTAAAGATAAGATTTAAATATTTAGACAAAATAAATGTTATAAATAAAATATGTTTTATTAAATTTACAAATATAAAAGTAAATACTCATTAAATTATTTTCATATACTATAATAAATAAATATGATATATATTATCACCTATTTCATTTTTATTTTATTAATTTATTTTTAAATTCATAAATTTTAATTTTAGAAATATTATTTAAATTAAGTTTATACTTTTCTTCAAATAAATCATATTATTTATAGTTAATTTTGAACTTTCAAACTAAATTTTATTGTTAAATTATTAAAATTAAAAGATGTTTACTAAATATAATGTGTTAATTTTATTAATAAATAAAAAACCGCATTTTTTAATTTTTTTTAACTGAAACCAAAACCATTTCAATAAAAAACGGAAAAAAAAAAAGATTTGTAAAATTTTCTTTGGTGATATGATAAAATCTTAAAAATCGAATTTAATCTTTGTAAATATTTTATTTAAAATATATATATATATATATAAATTTTTTTAAAAAACCAATTAAAACTTAAATAAATAAGTATTTCGTTTCCCCGTTTTTAATATTTTTGCTTGCATTATAATTAATAAAGTGTTATTCCGTTAATTTTACCTATTCTTTTTATCAAGAATTAAAATATATTATTTTTAGCAATGTTATTTTATTATTTCTATATTTTTTTTAAACAAAACTCAATTAAAGAAAAAAAAAAAAAAGACTATAATCCATTTTTTCTCGCTTATTTTTATACCCGATTAAGTTTTTAACCAAAATTATAGAACAAATAATATTGCTAAAAAGTAATATATGATATAAATTTTGAACATAAATGCTTATCTATTTTTTTAATAATTTGGACATTAAAATACCAAATAATACAAATATTTGAATAAAAAAAATTGGTTAAAGCTTATTAAATATTAGCTAGTATTAATACATTGACAATGGAGTAAAAATATATACTGATGAATTTCAAATATTAATATTATAAACATTTTTAGTTTAAATGTAAATTAAATAAATAAAAATATTATATAATATTTTTTATTTTCTATAAAAATATAAAAATTAAATATTTTCATATATTTTTTATTTTAAATACTAAAAATAAATAAAAAATAGGAATTAAAAAAATTATATAAAAAAATGAAAAAATTAAATGAACATAATTTGATATATTCTGATTAATTGAACAAAATAATATCAAAGCTTTTAAATCGATTTGAAAGAAATAAAACTTGGTCAGATTTAAATAATTGGTTATCAAAAGCTATAATAGCATTAAAAGAAAATCCATCTCCATTTATAAATGAGAAGATTTAGTTTTGTAAACGCTTAGCTTAATGTTTAAATCCTCAATTACCATAATCAATTCATTAGGAAACCTTAAAAATATATGAATAGATATTTGAAAATATGAAATAAATTTCAGAAGGAGATATTTAGGAATATTAGAGAATTTTTTGTTAAGACTTGGGTTTATATAGTGTTGGTTTATTTCCTTTTTTTTAATATTCTTAGCTTTAATTAAAATATTTATTCATCGATATTATAGAATATTATTATGTTCCAGTCGGAAGAGAGTTAATTCCATGTATTCCTGGTTTAATTTTATGTCTTTTACCAGGTTTTGAAGAAAATAATAAAGAAATTAAATTAAAAATAAAGAATTGTCTTCTTTTGTTAATGAAGGCTTGTGGAAGAAAATATTTTTATGGAGGATTTTGGATGGCTATTAAAAGGGTTTAAAAAGGTAAAGCTTAAGCTATAAAATTTCTTATGGAAGTTCTTTTAAATGAAAATACCAATTAGTTAATGTCTTTACTTGATTAAGATTCTTAAGATTCTAATGAAGATGAATAGTACACTATTTAAAATACTTTAGAAAACGTATTAATAATATCTATTTATTTTTAAATTTTTTATTTTTTAGAAATCTTAAAATCTAAATAATTCTTAATTATAATAAAACATTAATGGTATTTTTTTTTTATTTTAATATTTTTATATTTTTTTATATAGATATTTAAAATTAAGATGATACATAAGTTTAAAACATTTATAATTAAGTTGATTAAAGTCAGAAATATATAAATGAACCAAATTTATGTAGTTAAAATATTAATTTATAATAAAATGAATTAGGATAAGAAAGTTCAAATAAATTAATAGAAAGACAACAAATATTATAAGCAGAAAAAAATTAAATATAAACCATTTAAGAATAATATGATGAAATAAAAAAATCGTATTTATAAAATAAAAAAAGAAAATCATAAGGTAATAATAAAAAAAAGAAAGAGAAAAAAAAAAAAAAAAATTAAAAGAAGAAGAAGAAGAAGAAAAAGAAAAAGAAAGCAATTCAAATAGTAAAGATAGTAGTTTAGATTAATATGTATTTAAAAAAGAAGATGAAGAAGACGAACAAGAAAACTTAAAAATAAACGAAAATAATGAAAATAATTGTGGTGGAAGTATTTTTAATTAAGAAAGTTTAGCATCACGCAATTATTATGAAAATAAATGTAGAATAATAAACGAGTTATTTGAACTAACAAATATTTATTCAAATTAAATATGCGAAGAAACATTTTCAAAATAAGAAATAGAGGAATAGTAAGAATAATAAGAATAGGAAATAAATAATAAGCCAAGAGATAGCGATAATTTAGAAGTTTATATTTTCTAAAGTAAATTACACAATAAAAATTATCAATAAAACATAATCCATAATGATTTAATAATATATGAAAGTGAAATAAAAAAAAAATAACAAAAAATAATAGAAAATGAGGAAGAGGAAGTACAAATCAATTCTTTTCAAGAAAATATTTATAGAAATAATAGAAAAGAATTATTATATATAGAAAAAGGTATAGATGATAATACTCTTTATAATAAATATCCTAACAAAGGATGTTTAGTATTAAATGTTATTTTGTCATGTTTGGAAGACAAAGATGTTTTTGTTAAAAGAAACATTTTAGATTTATTAATTCATTATATACCTTTAAATAATAATAATGTTTAAATACTATCGTTTGAGGAAAAAACTATACTATGTGAAGGAGTATTGCGTTTATTTGCAAAAAGAGATATTTCTTTAATCCACAAAATTTCCTTTTGGATGTTTGGAAAGCCAGATTTGGACGAAAAATATAATTATTAACCTGAAACTATATAAATAATAAAAAATGCACTGAATAATATCTTTTTAACAAACAAAAATGAAAAAATAAAGCCTCTGAAAATGCTTTAAAATTTGTTTTTAGAGCATGAAGCTCTAATATAATTTACACTTGGAGAAATTAGTTTAAATTTAATATAATTTATCTAAAAAGCCTATGAGAAAAATAAAGAAGAAGAAGAAAAAAATATATAAAGGCTTATTGAAATTATTGGATAAAATATTTATTTGTTTTTCAATTGTTTATGCGATTTTTTAAATAATGAAATTCTTTGGGAATCGCCCTAAAATATGGATGAAGACAGTTTTAAAGAAAATATTATTAAATTATTAATATTTTCGTTTTAAAAGATTTTACTAAATTTAAAAGATGAAATACTTTTGTAAAAATTAATTAATATGAACCTTGATTAAGTTACTTTTAGTCTTTAGACTGTACCTGAATAACTTATTCATGAAAGAAAATAAGTAGAGGTTGGTGTTAAATTTATTAATCATTTATTATTTGCTAAAAAATAATTTTCAGATGATTAAGTTATTTATCTGGATAACTTTTATATATTTTTTTAAAAATATACAAAAAAACCCGAAGATATAAAACCTTAAAAACACTAATTATTTAAATTAATTTGTGAAAATGTCTATTTAATATAATCATAAATACCTAAAAATAATTCCTAATATTTAGCCTTGCTTTAGAAATGTATAACTTTGACACATACAACAATATCTTTAATTTCAATAGAATATACAACAAAAATTTTATAGAAAGTCTAGAATAATCCTAAACAAAATTTCTTAGAAAAACTTTGGGGAATGTTAGACAACTAAAATGCCTAAAAAATTACACAACTAATTGAATAATTATCCCAATACTTCCCTTCAGAGATTGAAAAGACAATTCAAAATTCATTCTAAGTGCTAACAATAAGTGAAAAAGAACATTCTATTCACAGATTTTCCCTTTTTTGGAAACTATTAGGGTAAAAAACTCAATTAAATCTAACTTAATCAATATTATAAATAATTAATAATCTTGAAAATGAAAATCCATTATTAAGACATGCTGCAAAAGGCTGGATATAAGATAGCGAAGTTAATTTATACTTAATAATAGATTAATTGATATTATATTTAGTGGAAATAAATGATAACTATATATATGAAGGGGAAAAAAAGAATGCCTTTTATTATATAAAAACTTTCGATGTTCAAAAGGCAAATTTTATTTTCCGAAAGCTTCATATTTTATGTAAATCGGCATGTGATATTTTTTTTAAATACATAATAAGTACATATATTTCTCCATAAATATTACAAATAGTTGGTAAAAATTAATTAAGAACTACATATTTGACTTTTTTAAAAAATTTATCACTAAAATTTATTACTGTGACTGCTTTGGAAAGCTTATCCTCTAAATTTTTTCATGAAAATCAAGCAGTGAATGCATCTTCAGCTGAACTACTGGAACTTCTACTAGTTTATACAAATGAAGAAGATATTTAAATTGAAAAATTATTAGAAGAAATCATATAAATTTTTACTTTGAATATTCAAAAAGAAGAATATGTGATGCAATTATAGACTCTGAATCTTTTAAAAGTTATTCTTTTTCGAAAAAATGTCCCTAATTATGTCCTTTAATAGATTTTTGAATAATCTTCATTTTTTTCTGCACTTTTTTAAGGACTTTAATCCTCATTAGTTAATGTAAGATCTTAATATATTTGTTTTTTGAACACTTTAATGCCTTTTTTATGTTAAAAAATAGAAAATTAAAATTTTTTAGGGGATATAGTGATGAAATGTATATTTTCTTATTCGTAAATTATCGATAATTATAAATAAAAGTATGAGGCTATATTTGCTTTGAAGAATATTTTGTAAACTTTTTTAAAAATATAAGATTTAAATGATAATTAAGTTATTGAAATGCCTTCGAGTAATCTTAATGGAGGCTTTTTTTCGTATATATTTGGTCTATAGGGAGAAAAAAAAATCTAGTTTGAACATTTTGAAATTGTTTGTGAAAATATTTTCGGATAAATTTAATTTATTATTGATCTTTTAGTTAAAAATTGGGTTACCCAAGCTTCGTTTCCTTTTAGCTTTAATAATTAAGGTGTTTAAGAGTATTAATATGATAAATTTTTTGCTTTTAATTAAAAATTTAAAGAAATCAAAGAAACATTTTTAAAATAAAAAAGAAAAATTGCTGATTTTTCAATTATTAAAGGCTTAATGATCGCTTACCCTTAATAAATAGTTAATATATTTACTGTTTTATGGGTAAATAATATCTAAAATGGATAATATTTATAAAATATAATCGAAATTATATTGCTTTTATAAATAAACCCTCGTATTTATTTAGAATATTTTATATAGGTCAATTACTTTGGATTATTAAAACAATTTTATAAATAAAAAAAGGTAAGAACAACTCCAGAAATAGGATAAATAGAGAGTTATTTGTTATACTTTTTATATTCATACCTTTTATATTCCTATTTAGATTCTAACTCTTTAAAAAAAGATAATTTACTTACTTTTTGGCATACAATATTGAAAGTTTTGTTCTTTTTCGACTCTTCAACTCATCCGAATGTGAATTTATTTTATATTGAAATATTATTTTTGTTATCAAATAAATATGTGCCTAAAGAAATACTATCAGATAGTAGAATAAATAAAAGCTTACATGATTAAATAAATCAAAAACTCATTTTTTTGTCTAACTATGTGATTAATAATTAAAATTTATAATTATAAAATGATTTGGAAGAACTTATTTTTCCTTATAGTCCTTCTTTGTAATAAGAAATATTAAAAATTTAGTCAAGTATTATAGTTTAAAATGACGAAAACTAACAAGATCAATTATAGAATAAATTAGAAAAGCAAAATGAAACATTTTTTAAAAAATAAGAAAAAAAGCTTGCAATTTTATATGTTTTAGACCATTTAGCGCTTAACTTATTATAAAATACATACAAACCAGAAAGATAAGATAGAATAATAATAAGAATAAAGGAATGTTTTGAACCTTTAAATATTCTTTTTAATGAAAAAGCATAATTTTAAAGTAAAATAGTGGAATTCGCATCTAAGTTTTTATATAATCTAGTCAATAACTAATCTTTGGTAAAGGAGTTTAAGAAAAACATATTAGAAATATTTAATTAAGATAATTTTTTTTCTTGTTCTAAACGTACACTGTAATATTGGGGGGAAATAATAAATATAATAATAAATACTGAAAAAAATGACCTATTTATGAATTATTTAAATAAAGTAACTTTAAATTCCTCTTTTTTTTCTAAAGAAGAAAAAGAAAATAAAAAAAGAATTAAAGCCTTTAAAAGAGTGTGCTTTCTTATTTTTTACGGAAAAAAGGATTAATATTTAGAAAAGTTATCTAATCTTCTTGATAAAATATCTGAAGTTATAAAAAATTCTGAAAGTATTCATCCTTAGTTACTTATTTTAATACTATTTGCTTTCAGAATTATTATTATTAGGCTTTCTACTTCTAATATGAATTAACTTTTTATAAATATATGGCCTATGTTATTAGGTTTGTTAATTTAAATTTCTAAAAACTCTAAAAATATAAACCTTTTGCTGGCTGGATTAAAAATTATTGAAATTTTTTCTATTGTTAAAGTAGATTAATTTTATCTTCATCAATGGATTTTCTTTTATGATTACTTCGGTATTTAATTAAATGATAATAACTCTTTAGTAAATGATAATAAGTCTACCTCGAATAATGATATTCTATCTGTCCTTAATAATAGTTAAGAATAATAAGATATAATTTCTTAAGAAAACTAATAAGTTCCTTAACAAGAGTAAAATATTCCTATATAATAGAACTAATTAGAAAATATTCCTATAAAATAAAAAGAACAAGAAAATATTCCAAAAAATTAAACTTAAGCAAAATAATTCCATATAAGGCCTTTATTTTATAATGAACCTATTTATTATGTTAATAAATAAAGTAATTAATAAGCTTTTTATGGTAAATAACACAGAAATGTTATTATCACTAATTCAAAAGTAGAAAATTAAATTTAACTTTACTAACTCTGCAAAAAACTGTCCTAAAGTATAATTGATTTTAATGAAATTAGAAGTGAAACATTACTTGATGAAGTTGAATCTATGATTGAAGATGATTTTATTAATCTTGATGAGCAAATTTTAAAAATATGATAATAATGTTTTTTTTAAAAAAAATAAATAAATAAATATATATATTAACAATTTTTTATAAAATTAATAAATTCATTTGACAATTATAGATAGTTTTTTTTTTTTTACAAATACTAGATTATATTCTTATATTAATTAATTATGATTGCTATAAAATATATACTAAAGAAACATTATGTGATTTAATTTAATTATTAAATTATTTTTTATATTAAATGAAAAGCTTTTGATTATAAAATCAATTAACTTAATATAAAACTGGTGTCTCAATATTTACTACATATTAAGTAAAAATTAGAATTATATAATATTAAAAAAATCATTGTAAAAAACCAATATTATGACATTTCCACAATTAATATTGCATTTAGAAAGTAATTATATTTAGAATAGAATATATGTGTTTGCTTATATTTATATATTACTTATATAAAATATAATTTTTTTATATTTTTACATCAATTATATATTATATTTATTTAATAACTAATTATATTACTATTATAATATAAATTTTAAATTTCTTCTTTTACTATAAAGAAAAATTAATATAATAATCCATTATTATTATTTTTAACATTGTTTTAAAAAACATGGGCATATAAAGATTTTAAAATTGCTTATTATATGTTTGTATTTTTAATTAAAAACATCTAAAGTTTCTACAGGTTATTAATAAAGATAAAAAAATTATATTAAAAATTTATTTTCTTAATTATTTTATAATAATAATTAAATAAAATTTCTAAAATATTAAAATTTAAAAATTAAATTTTTTTTTTATTTTTTTCTTTTTTTGAAATCTAATTTAATTTTAAGAAATATTTTTAAAATACTATATTTTTGTGAAGGAAAATAATGAAGATTATTGTATTTAATTTATTATAAATAAATATTTTTCAAATATTTGAAAATTAAAAAAAAATATAATTTAATAAAAACACATTTTAATAAAAATATAAATAAAAAAAAGAAAAGGAAAAATAAAATGAAAAGTTCTAAATAATCATCATTAAAATTAGTAAATAAATTTAACTAATTCTTTAAGGATAAAACATAAAAAATATAGGAATCAGGAAATAGTATTAATTTAATTTAAGCTTAAGATAAAATTCCTAGTACAGAGAGTAAATATAAAAATCAATAACTTAAAATTAAAGGCGAAGATATTGAAAAAAAGAAAAGAAAAACTACTATTTAAACATAGTTATAAATAAACAAATTTATTAAATAAGATGAAAATAATTCGAATAACCAAGAAAGGATTAAATAGTTTAATAATTTAAATTTAGATTATAACATTTTATATGAAGAATTATAAAAAAAAGAAGAATTGTATTAAGATAAAGTTTCTTTAGTTAAATTACTTGAAAATGATAAAGTAAATATACAAATAAGTTTACTTTTTTTTAATTTCAAAAAATATATTCTTTAAACAAAAGTATATTCTTCAAAAAGAATTATAAAAATAATATCAAGATTAAGAGGTATTTATTAAAAATATATTTTTATAAAATATATATAATATATCTATTAAAAAAAATATTAAATATTAGTAATAATAAGAAATAATTAATAAACTAGTGTGTCAGCAAATATTGTAAATTTAAAATTTAAAGAGATAAGAATTATTGAATTATCTTCTTACTTCAAAAGTAAAAATCGGATAATATGTGCCTTAAAGAGTTGGTTCGAAAATAGAAAATATATGGTAAGATGGAACTGATTTAGCATATACAAAATAATAAAATGTAATAAATAATAAAAAATTTAAATTAAAAGTAAATAAATTAATAAAAGGAACAAATATCGAAAGATATAGAAGATATAAAAAAACAACTAAAACAATTAAAAAATAAATTAAAAGATCAATCAATTTAAACATTATAAGATTAATTAGAATTAAAATAGGTTTTATTAAAAGGATAGCAAACAGAAATGTTAAATAAATTATAGCAATTAGAATAAGAAAAACAAGAATTTATAATTAAAGATAAACTTTTTAATGAAGAAAAAAAGTAAATAAATCAATAAAATTAATATAATCAAACAAAAATTAAATTACTAAAAAAAAAGTTGTGTTTATAATAATTGGCCATGTTTACATGAAAGATATTAATTAGTCTGTTTATTAGGTAAAGGAGGCTTTTCAGAAGTTTACAAAGCGTTTGATTTAAAAGAATTAAAATATGTCGCAATAAAAATGCATTAAGTAAATTAAAATTGGAATTAAGAAATAAAAGAAAATTATGTTAAACATGCGATAAGAGAATGTTAAATTCATTAACAACTTAATCATTAAAATATAGTCCGTTTATTAGAAATCCTAGAAATTAGTAATAATTGTTTTGCAACTGTACTTGAATTTTGTGAAGGAGCTGATTTGAATTTTTATTTGAAAAAAAATAAATTTATTCAGGAAAAAGAAGCTAAATTAATTGCTAAATAAATTATTAATGTACTTGTTTATCTAAGTTAACAAAAAAAATAAGTTATACATTATGATCTTAAGCCTCAAAATATCATATTTCATAATGGAGTTTTAAAAATTACTGATTTTGGTCTTTGTAAAATACTTGAAAATGAAAATCAAACTAGGATGGAACTTACAAGCTAAGGAGTTGGAACTTATTGGTATTTACCTCCTGAGACATTTGAATAACATGAAGATAAATTGCCTTAAATATCTAGTAAAGTAGATATATGGAGTTTCGGTGTTATATTTTATGAAATGCTTTATGCAAAAAGACCATTCGGAAATGGAATGTCTTAAGATAAAATATTAAAGGTTATTTCTTTTTTTATTATTATTTTTTAATTTTATTTTTAGGAAAATATAATTTTAAAATCTACTGAAGTATTTTTTCCTGAAAATATTTCTGTTAGCAATGAATGTAAAGAATTAATTAAAGGATGCTTAACTTATAACTAATATGAAAGATGGGATATTTAGAAAATATTAAATTGTTAATATATGAGAAAGTGAAGGAAATTTTATATAATTTTATATGTTTAAAAATCTAGATAATATAACTCCATATATAATATATATTTAAAAATAAATATTTAATATATAAATATTTTTTTTATATTTTATATATGCATATATAATTATTTTATTTTCTATTTTCTTCTTTTATTATTTAAATTTAATAATGATGTGAAAAAAGGGAATTTTTTGTTAATTGAGATTAATAAATTATATTTAAAATTATTAGAAGAAAAATAAAATAAACAAAAAAATTATTTTATTTTAGTTTCTGTAAATTAAAAAAGAGCAACAGGAAAAAGTAATTAAAATCAGAAAAAAAAATCAACCAACAAAATAAGCTTCTAAAGGAAAAAAAAAAAAAAAAATTAAAATGAAATCTTCAATATGTAAATAAAAAGCTTTACATATTAATTAATTTAATGAAAATATAAAAAAAAAAATTGTTCAAAAAACTATATATATATTTTTTTTTAAATTAATAAAGAATTCTAATAATAAGCAAACATAAAAGTAGTATGTAGAGTACGCCCCCCAAATAAATCAGAACTAGAAAACAAAAACTAAAGGGTATGTATAGATATAAATGATGATTAAAAATCATTAATAATAACTAGTTCTTAAGAGTAGGAAAAACATACATTTACATTCGATAAAACATTTTCATCCTCCACAAGCCAACAAGAAATATATGAATTTTCTGCAAAACCAGTTGTATAGAGTGTTTTAGAAGGTTATAATGGTACAGTATTTGCTTACGGTTAAACTTCATCAGGAAAAACTCATACAATGTAAGGTCCAAACATAAATGATCCAAATTTAAGAGGAATAATACCCAGAATGGTAACAACAGTATTTACACATATAAATACAAGTCCAAGTTATATATAATTTCAAATATCAGTAAGCATAGTGGAAATATATATGGAAAAGATAATTGATTTATTAGATTTAACTAAATCTAATCTTACATTAAGAGAAGACAAAACAAATGGAGTTTTATCGAAAATGTAACAAAGATTCTTGTTTGTTCTGAAAAAAATGTTTTTCAAGCTATTGAAATAGGAAATAATAATCGATCTGTATCTTCTACAAATATGAATGAAGGATCCTCCAGATCCCATATGATTTTTATAATGTAAATTCATCAAAAAGACACTGAAAGCCTAAGTGCTAAAAATTCAAAGCTCTTTCTTGTAGATCTAGCTGGAAGTGAGAAAATTTCTAAAACTGGAGCTGAAGGAAAAACTCTTGAAGAGGCAAAAATGATAAATCTTTCATTATCATCACTTGGAAATGTTATTAATGCACTTACAGAAGGAAAAAATAAACATGTCCCTTATAGAAATTCTAAATTAACTAGAATTCTTAAAGAAAGCTTAGGAGGTAATAGTACTACTACTATGATTATTACATGCTCTCCTTCAAGTTTTAATGATTAAGAATCTTTAAGTACTTTACGATTTGGAATGAGGGCCAAAAGTATAAAGAATTAGCCAAAAATTAACAAAGAATTTTCAGTTTAGGAATTATAACTTATTTTGGCTTAAAAAGATAAAGAAATTGAAGAATATCAGAAAACACTTTTATAATATAAAACAGGAAATTTTAATATGGATAATAATTAATCATAAATAGTTGAAAACTCTATTTTAAATGTAACTCTTTTTTCAATAATATATATATAAGCACTTTTTGTATTTTAAAGGAAAGTATTTAAATAGATCCTGATAGAATTCTTGAATTAGAAACATAAATAGGAATAGAAAAGGCAAAATGTGAAAGCTATTTGTAAAAATATGCTGCTTTAAAATAAGAAATGGGCAAAGTAAATGACCAAATGAACCTATTTTAAAAAGAAAATGAAGATATGTCATTAAAACTAACAAACTTAGCTTTATTATTAAATGATTATGAGACCGAAATGATAACAAATCGTTTAAATATAGATAAAAGTTAATAACTAAAATAGCAATTAATGAAATAAATAACCAATTTTAAAAAAGTGACT